GGCGGGAGCAGCGCTGGCCCGTGGGCCATGGCGTCCTACGTGGATAACAGCTTCCGCCAGGCGGTGATGAAGAACCCGGCCGAGCGCACCCCGCAGGTGAGGCCCCCGCGCTGCGCTCCGCTCCGCTCCGCCCCGCCCCGCCGGACCCGCGCCCCTCTTCTCTTCTCCCGCCCTGTGGCCGCGCGCGGGGCCGGATCTCGGGGTGCGCCCCGCGCCCCCTGCCCCCTGCCTCCTCTGCGCGTGCTCTGCTGCCCGGGGCTCAGGGGTGTTCGATGAGGCAGGGACGAAACTCGTGTGGCTCTGTGCGAGACAGATCCTGTTGACCTTGCGAAGCGAGCCACGCGGGTGTTTGTGTGTTTATTTAATGTTCACGCTTTCGAAAACGGGAGCAGTTTTCCGTGAAAGGGGTCAGAAAGTTGAGTAGCCAGGCTGGTGATTTGAGTTGGAGCTGCAGCCCCAACCGCAGGGCAGGCGCGCTGGAAAACATCCCCAGGAAGGGCATCCTGCGGATTCTTTCGCTGTTGCACAACCTTGTCAAAATTAGATAAGTTTGTTAACCTTTGTTCATTGTTTGCCCTCGGGTTTCTCATTCTCGGATTTAAGTGGAGGGATTGCTGACGGGGTGGGTGTGGGTTGCAACGGGGACAATTTTTGAAAAGGTGGTGGTTTGATTTTCTTTGCTTTTAGTTGCTGACTGGATAATGACACGTATTCCTGTGCTTTCGGACAGTGCCCCTGGGGATCCCTCTGGCCTTCCTGCTGGGGATGAGTCCTGGCCCTGCGACCGCGGGCACATCGGGGGTTAGTGTACAGGAGGTGCTGCTTTGTTTTGCCTAGATGTTGGATGCTGTGTTTGGATCCAAATGCTCATTCATTCTCTGACGAGATAATTTAACATGGGGAGGAAGAAGTGAAATAGAATTATCCACTCGTTGCCTTTGCACAGAGCCCGAGAGTGGCACCTGGTGCTGTCTTTGGGTTTTCGTTTTGCCTGTCAGAGCGGTCACATGTGCAGGATCATGGGTGGTTTGTACCTGCCTTGGGGTGCCCGGCCGCTGAGCTCCTTCCTTCTCCGGCGTTTTAGGCTGTCCACTTGTAGCAGTCCGCTGCACCGGAAAGTGCACATTCCCGGCCGCAGGGTGGAGGAAGAGCAAGTTTCTCAGCCGTGTTTTAACTACTGGTGAAATCTCTTGAGCTGAAAATATTAGAACCTGCTTCGGGCTCCTCAGAAAGTGACGTCAGAGGCCAGAGTGGAAATGCAGGGCTGGGGAGGGTGCTTTGCTTGGCTGATTAGAGAAATAACAAGGAGCGAAACTCAGGTGAGGGCGTGGATCAGCTGGCCAGAAGACTCAGAGACCAAACCTCCTGTGTGACTGTGTGACCGCCCGAGGCCTGTGCTGAATAAACGGACTGTTACGCTCTGCGACCCGTGCCAGTCCCTGTGCCAGTCGTGGAAAACAGGCAGGAGTGAGTGGGCCAGTCACCGCTGGCCTTGGAGGGTCCATTGATCCCGCGAGGCGCCCTGCCTGAGCCTCAGGGCCCCAAACCCACTAGCCACCCAACGTCCTGAATGACACTTGCCAGCGCTAATGACTTGGAAGCTCATTTGGCTTTTCTCTAATGCAAACCTCCACGTTTATTTATGGCCCTAAAGAGAAAGAATTTTGAAATGTGTTTTCCATCTTGTCAGAAATCATTCATCTTCTACAACTTTGAAACTTAAGGTAGAAAAGTGCTGGGCCTTGTTAATGCAGGGCTGGAAGGTTTTCTGTAAGGACTGTCTGCTCTGTAAGTTGTAGTGAAATAATTGAAAAAGCCCTGTTAGGTAAGCTTGGTGTCATGGACAGAGGAACATGAACTAGGAGTTTTGCTGTGGAGCCTTTTGCTGTTTCACACTGGATGAAGAAGTTTGTGAGGCTTGTAACAGCTTAAAGAAGGTGCTTAAAAAATAATACAGTACAGAAGTTTTCTTTACGTTCAGTTTTTTTTTTTTTTTTTTAATTTTTATTGAACAGAGCAGCCTTGTACCTCCTCCAAACTCTGTATTTAGGTCAGTCAGTTGCCTGGAAGCAATCTTGATGTCCCTACTGTAACCTAAGAAGTGTGGAGAAGAGACTTGGGTGGGAGAGTCTCAGGGACTCGGATATGTTAAGAGCTTTTCAGGTATGCCTGTGAAGTGGGCCTAAGCTATTCAGATCCAGACACTGAAGTTTGTCTTGGTACTGTAAGTGGAGGGAAGAGTCATTATTAATCCAGTGATTGTCAAATCTGTGTGTCTGCAAGCCTCAGTTCTAGGTGGTGGGGCACTTTTCTAAAATCACATACATCAATCTTGAAAATAATGAGTAAGAAACATTCTTCTTATGTGGTATTTTTAAATGTACTTCTGTTGAAGAATAGTACTTTATTGCTTTATTCGCTGTTTGGATTTGTGTCTTTAATCAAATGAGAATTGTGGTCACCAGAGCAATTTAATGTAGTAAAATATGTAAATAAATTACAAATAGCTTTACTTTCCTAAGGTTTTATACAGGGGGAAAAAAAAGATTGTTCTAAACTTTTGTTACCTTGTGGCGTTCAGGCTCCTTGAAGTTGCTTGTCAAGTGTTTAAATGCTTAATGTTTTTAGTTTTTCAGGTGGAAAATTTATTGCTAAATTGTTTGAAGACCTACTCTATGAGTTTTTGGCTAGTTGTAAAAGTTACTTTTAAAAATAGAATGTGTAAAATAGATCTCATGCCTCCTGGTCAGTAAGTACAACTGTTACAGTTTCCTGGGCCAGTAGCCTTTTGGTTGAGGTGCAGCTCATGGAGGTGTCTGCCAAGAGGGTTTCTGTCAGAGCAGAAACAATTCTTTGCGATGTCACTCAGTACATTTTCTCTTGTGTTGTAAACAAGGGGGCTGGCAAATAAAACAAACTTTAGTCCAGAGAACTTGAAATTATGAGAATTTTCACAAACGAGCACATCTGATGAATATTTAACTTTCAAATTTAGGGGGAGGATTGTGTGTATTGCAGTCAAATTTTCCATTTAAGTTTTCTTTTTACCATTGTTTATAAATAGTCTAATTTTTTTCATCTGACAGTGTATATTTTTATTTTATCTCTTTTTGTGGAGCGGCATCAGGTTTATTGGCTTTATCTTGATTGGTTCTAGTAATATTTGTTTCTTAGTGTTTTCTTTTTTATTCCATAGTACACACTGGCATCAGTTTGAGAAGTTTGTCCTGTGGAGAAATGGTTTGACCTCAAGCACTTAAATTCCATAACAATGATATATGAATTTATTGGTTAAAATCACATTTATAACTAAAATATTTCACTGTGGTTCAACATGTCACTGAATAAGTGAGGACCTAAAATTAATTTGTGACAAAAATTAACATTCTTTTGCAAAATCAGTAGATGCTTCAAATCCATTAGATAATCCCTACAGCATTTAGTAACTCACAGTGTGTAATTGGCTTTATGTGCCTGGCTGAGACTCAGAATGGGTCTGTGTGCAGAACTCTGCGAAGCTCTGCTAACACCAGCTTTTTCAGACTGCAGGAGTCATAGAACAGTACTGCTTGGTTGGCAGAATTTGCTCCTCATACCCCAGTAAGGGAACATAGAGTAAAAACAAAGCCAGTGGCAGTCTCCTCTCACGGTCATTTCATGAATGATTTTGCTGTCCAATAAGGAGGGTGCACTGGCTACAAAGCTCAGTTCTTGAAATCAAACTGTTGCTTCCTAAGAAAACACATTCTGTTATTTGTGGTACTGGAGATGAAACTCAGGGCTTCCCGCTGAGGTATATACCTGCAGCTCTTTTCTGCATGTTGAGACGGAGTCTTGTTAAGTGCTGCATTGCCCAAGTTGGGCTCGCACTTGGGATCCTCCTGCCTCAGACTTTTGTAGTGCTCCTGTGGACCTGTAAACAGTTTCATTTGAGGGGATTTAAATGATCTCATAGGGTCTTCTCCTTTGGGGAGCTTTGAAATTCAGGTCACAGAAGTAAGAATGAGATAGGCCTCACATAGACACTGATTATCTGTAATAAGGATATTTATTTGTTTATTTCTGTATTTGCTTCTTGGAGACAGGGTTTTGTTATGTAATCTAGGCTTGCCCTGAATTTGTGATTTTCCTCCCTCAGCCTCCCAAGTGCTGGGATTATATTCCTGGTAGGCTAACCTTTTAGAAACAGACTGCTTCTGCTTTACAAATGAAAACTTTAAAAGAGGGGCTGGGGAGATGGCTCAATAGAATAAACACTTCCCTGGCAAGCGCAAGGGTCTGAGTTCAGTTCCCGTTTCTGCAAAAAAAAAAAAAAAAAAGAAAAAACCCAAAACTTTGAAAGAAGTTGTTACTTTGTAAATTTTAAGCCCAAGTGACTTTGAAACTGGCCATAGTCAGTAGTTTTGTGATATCTGCGTTTTGTAGCATACTTTTTCTCTTCACTCCATTTTTAGTAGTAGTTTCCTCATCATTTCTGGAGATTGCCTTATGAGTTTAAGTACATTAATAATTTATTGCCTAACGGTAACTTTTATTTTAGCATATTATTAAAATACCTATTATTTAGCTACCCTAAATTTGGAAAGGAAGCACTTGTCCCTCAAGGAATGCAGTGACCTGTGCGTGGCTGTGGTATGTTGGTGGCAAAGGCACTTTAACGCTGGACTTCTTCGATGAGTGTGTGTTGAGGCTTGGGAGCACAGGTGTCGGAAACCTTGTTCCAGACCCACCTGGAGGAGTGGGGAGGGTGGTGGAGCTGGTGTGGAGCGCAGCAGGGGTGGCCAAGAATCTCTCTAGAACCCGACGTCATTCTCCGGCTGTGGCACACAGTGGAGACAGGAAGAATGGGCTAGCTGAGTGTGTCTGTGGGTAGCAGCAACTTACTGTGTGAGGTCACACTTGCAATTTGCTGGGACAGCCTGATGGTGGAACAGAAAATGATGGGCATTTCCTAGTTCACAGAAGAATATAAGTTGTTAAATATAATTTTCTTGATTTTTAAAGATTTTTTCCCTTTTTTACTTACACTTTTTTTCCTTAAATGATTGATCTCTTTTATTATGTGAGCATTTGAAAATCTAACATGGAATACAGTC